AATTTAAATTTTTACAAAATTAAAAACCTTTAAAACACATTTTTTAATTTTTTTATCATTCATAAAGCTTCCCTGTGGTCACGTGATGTCCCACAAAATATTTGGGCCCGATCGGTTCAGCCGTTTTGACGTTTTTTGGATACAAACAAACAGACACACAAGCCAAATTATATATAGATTGTAATTTTTCATTTTTTGTTTTGTTTTCGGTTTAAACACCGGATTTGAAATCTAAATCAAAATCTTAAAATTAGAATATAAAAGAAAAGATAAATAAGACAGGGCTGTGGCATAAATAGGTAATTCCGTTGTACTTCCCAGCCTTCTCTTGTGTAGTATAAATGATAAATATGGTCTCAATTGTTTAGAATTTAAAACAATTATTTAATCTGTAATTGACTCATTTATGTTCAGACTTTTAAACTGGAATCTTGGAATTACTATTAAAAATATTTCCACCATATCAAATATTACAAATATTGTATAGGAAATCAATAATAATTATTAATAACATTATTATTTTTGACAGAACCATTTTCGTTACCAATCCTCTTTAGATTATAATTTAATAATCTGGATACAGAAAAAATCCCAAAAAAGCTTAAAAACGTTATTATCATATTTCGTTAAAATTAAAGATTTTACCTCCAGAGTTTTCCTAGAGTTTTACTGAGTTCAGCGTTGTGTAAAGATGGATATTGGTGTCCTAACCTTCGTCTAGCAGCCTAGATTAGTAGCATTATTATTATTCTTATCATCTGATATTATTATCTTTTTTCTTAGAGACCATCTATTTGGAGACATAAATTCACGTAGTGTCTCTTGATATTCCTTGTACAGTACTTTTTATGTTGAACTTCAAAGCATAACGTTTTATATACTGCACTTTGCTTGCAAAATATGGATTGAAACCCTGTTGAGAACTTGGCGGAATCAATTTGCAAACGCTACTCAATTCGGTTCTCACAATTCACGATTCACAATTCACAATTCACAATTCACAATTCACAATTCACAATTCACAATTCACAATTCACAATTCACAATTCACAATTTACAATTTACAATTCACAATTCACAATTCACGATTCACAATTTACAATTCACAACTCACAATTCACAATTTACAATTTACAATTCACAATTTACAATTCACAATTCACAATTCGCAAACTGTTAATTAGAAGGATTTACAGGGTTAACCACAATGGAAGAGCCTTTATTTAATCCGTTTGTTTGTATTCAGGGTTCCTGAATTGAACACAGAAACCAAAAAACAAGCTTCAAATCTCCATATTTTTAGAGTTTAGGGTCGTCTTTACAGTCTCGTCCTTTGTGGCCAAACATGTAATTTTAGTGGTGGAATGAGAAGTTAATTCCAAGAGACTGTTTTCACAACGACTTGAAAACTATCTTCGTCCCAGCAAACTGTTCCTTTCGATCCCAATTTGACAAAACAAACTTGAATTATTTTAATCTGTCTCTTAGCTGATGCATTTTAAATGAAAGAGTAGGAAAACATTTCTGTTTCCTAAACGATTGTTGAATTCAAGATGAAGATACCGAACTGTTTAGTCAAAGGTTGAATGAGTGAATTAAAAGTGTTTAGAAGATGAATACTTGAGAGTGCACTTTATTTATATCTGTATACCTGTGCCCAAACCATGAAATTTATATCTGTATACCTGATTATTATTTATCATAATTACTTGTTTGCTAAAGGTGAGAGGGTCCAATCGTATCCTTTTAGAAGTTTGTCTACTTGTACATCTAGTCTTGCCTTTAATAATTTTATTTTACCATTACATAGTTGTTCAGAGATAACATGTTTAATAGTTCAAGAAGATTTAAAACAAATAAATTTGGAGTAAGAAATGAATATATGACAAAAGATATATTTTTTTAAAAAGTTCTTAGATCTTTAATATACGAATCTGCCAATATGAAAAATATTTGTCAAATCACTTTCATTAGTGTCCGTGTAATGAAAAAAAGTTTTAATATTTTTTTGCAAAGTTGTGCAGTCTGTATCCTTTGAGACATTCTTTTGATGAAGCTTAAATTCAAAAACCGGAAGTGTGTCAAAATGAAGATTAAATTTCCAGCAGAAAATAAATCAGACAAACCAGCAGAAAATAAATCAGATTATTTTTAGTAATTGAATGAAACGGATAAAAAAGAAAAAGAAAATTTAAAAACTGAAAAATATTTTTAAACGGTAAAAATAATTTCCTGAGTTTCAGAATCCAATTCCTCGTACAAATCCAACTCGTCCATCATTCTAATATTTGTAAAGATTAAGTTAAATGTAAAAATAATCAAACAATTTAAATCTGGTTAAAAAAATAAAGTATACAATGTGTTCGTAAAGTATATCTGAAAAAGTTTATTCTGTAAAAAAAAACTTTTTGAGTTTAATAATAAATAATAATAAATGCTGGGAAAAAAGTTCGAAAGAAATCACAACTTAATATTTTGCCTGATATCAAATTCCAATTCTTTATTTCAGATCACTTCACTAAACGTTGTTTAAAACAACATCCTTAACTCTGCGAAGTCTTTATCTGAAATTATTATTTTTGTAGCAAATAGGTTTAGAATATACTATTGTAAAAAGTGGTATAGGTTTAGAATATTTTCCAGTATACAGAGAATTAAAGGTTTAGAAAATACTCCAGTATATAGAGAATATAGGTTTAGATATACTCCGATATACAGAGAATATAAGTTTAGAATATACTGTTGTAGAAAGAGTATATTATTATATAGGTTTATAATGTACTCCAGTATACAGAGAATAAAGGTTTAGAATATACTATGGTAAGCATGGAACATAGGTTAAGAATATACTCCAGTATACAAAGAATATAGGTTTAGAATATACTATGGTAAACATGGAGCATAGGTTTAGAATATACTCCAGTATAAAGAGAATATAGGTTTAGAATATACTCCGGTATACAGAGAATGTAAGTTTAGAATGTACTCCAGTATATAGAAAATATAAGTTTAGAATATACTGTTGTATAAAGAGTATATTATTATATAGGTTTATAATATACCCCAGTATACAGAGAATATAGGTTTAGAATATGCTGTTGTATACAGAGAATATAGTCTTAGAACATACTCCGGTATGCATATAGGTTTAGAACATACTCCAGTATACAGAGAATATTGGTTTAGAATTTACTCCAGTATACAGAGAATTTAGGTTTAGAATATACTCCAGCATATAGAGAATATAGGCTTAGAATATACTCCGGTGTACAGATAATTTAGGTTTAGAATATACTCAAGTATACATAGAATATAAGTTTAGAATTCACTCCAGTTTACAGAGAATTTAGGTTTAGAATATACTCCAGTATATAGAAAAAATAGGTTTAGAATATACTCCAGTATACAAAGAATATAGGCTTATAATATACTCCAGTATAGAGAATATAGGTTTAGAATATACTGTTGTATACAGAGTATATAGGTTTAGAACATACTCCGGTATACAGAAAATATAGGTTTAGAATATACTCCGATATACATATGGAATATAGGTTTAGAATATACTCCAGTATACAGAGAATATAGGCTTAGAATATACTCCAGTATACAGATAATTTAAGTTTAGAATATACTCCAGTATATAGATAATTTAAGTTTAGAATATACTCCAGTATACAGAGAATATAAGTTTAGAATAAACTGATGTATACAAAGATTATAGGTTCAAAATAAAGGTTTAAAATATGCTGTTGTATACGGAGAATATAGGTTTAGAACATGCTTAGTCTGTCCTAGTGAACGATTTTTGGACCCCCCCCCCCTCCCCCCCTATCAATTTTTAACATGACCATTTATTTTTTAGCAAATTTATTATTATTTATTTTTTTGTTATTTAGGGTTAGGTTAGGTTAAGACACTTTCTGGGCCGAGCGCTGCGGCCACGGGTTAGGTTAGTTAAGACACTTTCTGGGCCGAGCGCTGCGGCTAGGACAGGCTAGGGGGCCGAGCGCTGCGGCCACGAGTTAGGTTAAGTTAAGACACTTCTTGTCAGACCCATGTAAAAAATTGATAGGAGGGGGGGGGGCTCTGGGGGGGTCCAAAAATCGTTCTCTAGGAAATTACCGAACATGCTTTGGTATAAATGAAAAATAGGTTTTATAGTATATACTTTGGTCTTTATGGAAAATAGGGTTAAACCATACTCCGGTATATGGAGAATATAGATTTAGGTTATACTGTGAGATTATAGGCTAAAAAAGGTATACATG